TTTCTAAAAGACCAACTACTTTTAATTGCACATCATTTTACTTACAAATTAATAAGGAGACAAAAAGTATAAATATTATATTATTGTTTTTTTTATTGGTTTTTTTTTTTTATTAATTAATTTTATTTAGATCTTCAAATGGACCAGTAGTATCATGATACACAATTGGGTGAAAAAGTTTGTCGAACACTTCTAAAAACTATTTGTATTACTATCGGTATTAATATAAAGGATCATGATATCGTTAACCATTCTGGTAGATCTACGCCTATTACATTCTTATTTCAGAAGGGAGTTCCTACAGTTACGACTATGGCATTAACTGGGCATAAAAGTGAATCATCATATCGCATTTATGCCCACCTATCTGAAAAACAAAAAGAAGATGCACTTTCACTACTAATTAACAATGTTGGAAAGTTGCCACCTTCAAGTAATTTAAATAATTTAAAAACTTCGAATAACTTAGAAGTCTTAAATGAATTGGAAGACTCAAGTGAATTAGAAGCCTCAAATGAATCGGAAGCCTCAAATGAATCAGAAGCCTCAAATACTGCAGAAGTTTCAAGTAAATTAAGATCATCACGTATATTAAAGGTATATATATACTTATTTATTTTTGTTATTTTAATAGTTATTTATTATTTATTTATTTATCTGTTATTTATTGAGAAATCTAAAGCAAAACAAAGTTCAAGTTGTCCTGTCTACTCAATATCATCAACAGCCTCATCGCCCAAAGCTTCTGTTTTTAGACAATTTCGTGCACCGTTTCAGAATTCATCCAAAATAAACTTACCACTACACTCAAATGCATATAAAAAAAATCCTACACTTGGTGGTCGACGAGTTCTTCATAAAACTTTCAAGATGGATAATTCTGAAGGGCAAGAAACAACTGGTAAAACTACAATCATCAAAAATTACTATATTACAGCTGAAAATGTTACTATTAACTAGAAAATATGTATTTAAATTGATGTAAATTTGATGATTTTATTATTGACAATTTTAAAGGCTTTCGATCCTAATACAGCAATTTATTATTTGTTTTCAATAAAAAAATAAACTGTAAATTACGTAACTGAATTAGATTTAATAAAAATAATTGCTAAATAACCCGAGTTATTTGGTAAGCCCGATCATAGTAGGATACCGGATAATAAAATAGTATTGTAAGGTTATGAATATTTTATATTCCCGTCCAATAATATTAATTACCTTAATAGATGCATTAGTAAATGCTAAAAAATAAACTTTCCATCAGGCTAAAATTTGACACCTGTTATTGTAGTCCAGACATATAACAATAAAATTAACATCAGAGTTCAATATTTAGCTTGCTTAACCTAAAACTTACCTAGCTTGAAATAGGATCTTGCTCAATATGACCCCAAATATTATAAACTCCCCTAAAAATCAAAAGATTAATAAAATTTAAAATATGTTATAAATAGATAGAGAAATATATTTACCCTGCTTAATA